CCCCAAAACCCCAAAACCCCAAAACCCCAAAACCCCAATCATAACTAAATAAATTGAATAAAATCTATTAATGTCTGATCAAAACTTTGAAGAGCCAAGCTTTGCAATGAATGTAGAGAGTATGTCATCTGATCCTGTCGGTCAAGCATCTTTTGAAGTTCCTCCTGCTCCCCTTTCTAAACAAGGGAGTAATAAAAATTACAGTGAAAAACAGCTAGAAAGAATGAACTCTCAATACTCGACCATTGATTGAATAAAGCGTAAATAAGAGATTAAATAGGCCAAAGCACAACAAAGAAATTAAAATAGTAGAAGTTCATAATCCTATTCCTTCAGGCCAGAGGAACTCTGCTTCCTCATTTCCTTTGAGCACTAGGAAGAAGAGCTCCTTCGAGAAGATTCCTCAAGCAGCGTCAGCTTCGGATAATGATCTTCCTACCTTCGGAGGAGTACGGAGTGCAGAGATTCCTAGAGAAGAAAGTAAAATTGATAAGAACTATGAAATGAGTTATAAAGCCCAAGAAGAAGACTTGACAGTTGAGAAAGGTATTTTTGTTCTTTAAACTTTAGAGTTTATGAACAAAGTTGGCAGATTGGAAGAAAGAAAACCACAGAAAAATCCTGAGAAAGAGAGATTATCTCAAGAAAAGACTGAGTTAGTTATTAAGAACCAGGTGCTTAGGGAAGAGGTATCTGATTGGAAGAGGAAATATGAGGAACTTCAGATGAAATTTGAAAATTTGTTGGCAGAGAATGAGGGTAATTCTCAGAAATGAAAAGTCCAGGAAAGTACTATTACAGAACAATCTAATTAAAATTAAACATCTACAAAATGAAATCGAGTCATTCAAAAACCTCAGAGAACAAAATTCAACATCAAACCCACTAAACCACTCAGAAATCACTTCCAAATCCATTCAAACCTCAAATCCGCACCTAATCTCAAAATCTACTCAAAATTCTCCAAAATCCTCTTCATCCAACTCTTCATCCCCATATTCCTCCTTCATCCGCCCGTTCTACTCATGAATATCATCAACAGATCCGCAGATTCAGAACTATATCCCAAAAGACACTCAACACGATGAAAAATAACCCTCAAAAATGCAATTTTTCTATATTTGCCCTCTCTATCAACTAGCCTCTCAAATCTCGGGGTTTTGGGGTTTTGGGGTTTTGGGGTTTTGGGG